ACGGCTATGTTTTCGTCAGACCATGTGAGAACCCAACACGTCCCCATCTGGGATGTGAAATTATGGAGACCAGACTCATAGGACCCTATGCAAGCTGTCAGTCACCCTGTGCTTTCATGAGCATCCGAAGGAGAAACCTGAAGTTGCATAGCAACCAGCACGTTTCTAGATGGTGAGGGTCTCTCCATGGCACGGATGACAGGGACATGGCAGCTAGGTCGAGGGGGGGGTCTCCATTCTCTTGGATGCTTATGGCAGGTACTGGACATCTGCGTCTCTGCTGGATCCCGTGTCTCCCAGGGGGTTCAATCAGAAGCTACGTGTTAAACTTTACCCCAAGTCACACAGAGTAACCACCACGTGGGTGTGCTTTTTAATCTGGGACCAGAAAGTGGGGTCTAAAGAGGGAGTGTGAGAATTTCTCAACTTAGCTCACTTGAAATATCTGGTGAAGACTTTCCAATTCTAAAATAGGGGGTAGCTGGAGCTTAAGTTTAAGAGACCATGTTGCTTTCTTGGTCTCTGCAAAAGAACAAAAATCCTAAGTTAGACTCCCACCAGCCAACTCCTTGGCAGCACTTGAAGTTGGGAGGATGAGTTAGAGGCAGGGATGGAACTTTTTTTGGGAAGTAGAGGGGGCTGTTTTGGACCCCCAATCATATATTTACATCCACATCTGCACTTGAGAGCAATAAGGTCCATCTAACCACGAGAGGACCCCACATCCGCATTAGCTGGGCTGGTCACAGAGATAGTCCTTGTGTTGTGAGTCCCTGGAGCAGGAGAGCCACAGAAGGGAACCAATCCAGAATGCCAATTGACAAAGTGAGGGTTCCTCAGGTTGGGGCTCAAATCACACAGGACAGGTTATCTGCCAGGCGTGTGATCTGGCTCCTAGGGGTGTAATGGGTACTGTTGGCCCAGGTGCGCCACCTAGTGCTAGGACTCTGCTCTCACTGCTGGCGTTCCGGAGGGCTGGGAGTTGTTAACGTTGAGTGGGGTGGCAGGGAGAAGAGGGGGTATAGTAGTGAGGGTTGGCAGGAGGAGGAAGAGGGGTTGGTAGGCGGGTTATAGTGGGAGATGGCCGTGTGGGGGGCTGGGGGATGGTTGTGAGACAGGGTGGTAATGTGGGTGGCACTGGGGGCCGGTAGCAACTAGTCTGTTTCTTTTTCTTGTTTCATTTATTCTTCCTTTCTGTTTTCCTGTCTCAACTGCCTCAGTGCCTCTCTTTGCCACCTGTCTTTTTGGACCTAAATAGGTTTCTCTTTTCTGTTTGGGAACCACACGTTATAGCTATCTACACATTGTCACCAAAACCAATTTGTGCAAACTAACGGGCTTATCAGTGCCACTGAAACGAGATTAAAACTGCTTCCAATGAAACAGATAAAAACCAGATGAATGAAGCCTGCTAATAAGACATTAGAGATAATGACGGGGACGACTAACCGGCTTGATACAGTGAGCAGTTATGAGAGTCGCATGCCCGGGATCGGTAAACTAATAAAAGAATCCACCTTTTATTCCCCTTTTGCCGTCAAGATATAATCGCATCAGCACCATCATGGTTGGTTATTATTTGTCTGTGAGAGTAACATCACACTTTTCTCTAAAGTGCTTAAAGAGGCTGGGGTTCTAGGAGAAAGGAGAAGAGAGATGATTGCTTTGGGGGGGAAGCTCTTATTCCTGATTTTTAAGAATAGGTGGGGGGGTGTTTAATACCCTGGTTGCGTTCGTGTGTCGATTGTTCAAGCACTCTTCCATTTGTTTCATCCCCCGAGAGGGGCCTGTTCAACCCTTACACAGGCAGTTAGCTAATTACGGCATTAACGAGTTACAAAGGAGACAGTCTGAAAATTGCATTTCCGCTGGTAGCACCTTGGCCATGGTCACGGCAGCCTTGGTGCCTGGCCTTTTCATTGCGGAGGAATCTTGCTGCCATCCTGCAGCTGGGTGGCTGGGTCTTCCTGCCTCACTGGGTGGGAGTTAGTGGGGAGGGAGCGGGGAAGAGAGAGCAGTCATTTGCTATTCAGTGAGAGCTTTCCCAACCATATTACACGCAAGCTCGGTGCTGTTCTCCCAGAAGGCAGGTGAGCAAGAACTCGGCTCTGCCCTCAGGAGCAGGAAGAGGAATAGACAAAAGATGAGATGACAGGCGGACAAGCCCAGTGGCTGTGCGATTATACAGCGCACCACAGATGCCTGGAGGAGGGAGCTAGTCCCTGGAGAAGCCGGAGATGGCTACCCAGAGGAAGAACGCTTTGCAGTGGGTGTGAAAAGAACAGGGTTTTGCAGCCAGGTGTTGGTGGCGCACGCCTTTAATCCCAGCACTCGGGAGGCAGAGGCAGGAGGATCTCTGTGAGTTCGAGACCAGCCTGGACTACCAAGTGAGTTCCGGGACAGCCTCCAAAGCCACAGAGAAACCCTGTCTCGAAAAACCAAAAAAAAAAAAAAAAAAAAAAAAAAAAAAGAACAGGGTTTTGCTAGAGGGAGAAGTGGGCATAGGGTAGAGACGGAGGGATCTCACACATAGTCATGAAAGGCCCTGCCGTGTTACGGGAAGAGGTGCTCAGAGAGAGGGGAGAACCCGAGGGTATCTGGGAAAGGGGCTGGGGACCAGGCCAGAGGCCCATGTTCCACACTTTCACAGTTTGCCAAGGTCACCCTGTGACCGAACCTATTGTGGATGGATTCAAGGCAGCAATGAGAGGCCTCAGAAGGAAACCCTGCCTGAGCCCCGAGGTAGAAAGAAGTCACCTAACTCGTGACTGACTGGCTGTGCCGCCTCCTCTAAGCGTATCCCTTGAGAGACAGTCTTAGCGTCGTCTGTAAGTGCAGGATACCCACCCACAAGCACCTCGGGGTTGTTGGAAAGACTAGGGCTAATATGTCAAGCCCAGGTACTCAGTCCCTGTAATGACCGTTTCTTCAGAAGTTCCGCTATGGATGGGCATTAGGCTAGGGTGCTGGTGGGCACGGGCTTCTAGGAAAATTACCACGGTATGTAGGGGACAGGAGGGGAGACAGAATGAAAGCAAATGTTGTTGGGAGGAGAACACCGTTTCTTGTCTTTGAGATGCATGGCCGAGTGAGGCGGAATCGGATGGAGCAGACACCCTGGCGTCATATGATAGAGACGGCAAGTTAGGGACTCAAGACTCTGAAGACAGAGGTTTCTGTTCTGCCAGGTCCTGCTGCCCTTCAGGCCCAAATAAGCACACAGAGACATATATTAATTTATCTACTGTTGGCCGATGGCCAGGGCTTTGTACTGGCTAACTCTCTCTTAATTATTAGCCCACGACTACTAGTCAATGTATTTCTACATGGCCTTATCTTACCAGAGAACTTCTGGTGTGTCCTATCTTCCTGGCATCCTTTTCCATGGCCTCCTTCTGCATTCCTCTCCCCAGCCTTTTCCTGGTTCGGTTGCCCCGCCTGTGCTTCCTGCCTGGCTATTGGCCAAACAGTGCTTTATTCATCAATAATCCCCCCATCACAAGACTGATGGAGAGACACCATTCTCAGAATGTTGGCCCCATGAAGATGGAGACATGTCCACTCTTAGGTTCAGAGTGCCCAGAACTCAGCAAAAGGAATATGTATTAAATAAACCATTTAGGCATGATGCGGGAGCCAGGAAAACAGTGAAAATGTTAGCCTAGTGGTAGATTAGGTCAAAATATACAGCTATTATCTTTCTCTCCAGTACCCTCATCGGCTAATATTTCATGAATTCAACATTTAACAGAAACATTGCACAAATAATTCTAAAAGTCTGGCCTCTGATTGACACAGGCATAGTTGTGAGGGGCTTAGTTTGCTGTGGGGAATAATTAGGAAGAGCCTTGTGACAAGCTTTCAACCTGATAAGGACAGGCAATTGTGCCTTGTGACGGCTACCAAGGATGAGCATACATTTCTGCTGAACCCCATGTCATTCCAGTTGAAACGTGAATAGTGGGCATACATGCAAAGATATGTGCTGGAAGATGAAAGTAAAGGAGGGTGTGCCCAGCGTCCCATGTATGTGGGTTTCGCCCCGTGGCTTCATTTCTGTCTAGATTGAGAGCCTGCGCTACCTATACAGTCAATGTAAGCTGAGATATCCCCATTTTTAAAATGGTTGTCTTCAGTAGGAGCCACTAATATGAAAAATGCAAATCATTTGGTGCCTTGCAGGCAGTATTTTTCTCCTCACAAGTAGTTTCTTAATAGATTGTATTGATAACCATGGAAAATGATTGTTTTTCAAGGAATTTAGAACTCTGCTATCCCTAGAAGACAGTCAACTAACTCAGCCTTAATCAGAAAATTGGAGAACTGCTTTCTAATAGCTCCTAAAAATATGACTGTATGTGTCCATTTATTGCAGTCAAGCCCAAATATGAAACCCACATGCAGTCAGAAGGGCATCACTCTTAAAAACTGATGGATGAGATATGTTTCAGTGAGAGCAATTCCAAAATGGCGTGTTTCAAAGCACATCTCTGTTGAATAACACAACTTGGCTGTTTAAGAGACTAAGCTAAGAAACTAGAAATTCTTTATTTTTATACCCACTCTTAAAGTTTACAAACAAGTTCAAAATGTCATTGTTTTTAAGTAGAGATTTCAAGGAATTTTTTGACAGTGTTTTCAACCTCTAAATCAAAAGCTTCTCCCTAGAGCCAACCCCATTCCAGTCATCCTATAAACTCTCCCAACTATAGAGAAAGTGGATTTTCATACAAAGTGCATATGGTGGTAGAAACTAGCTTCTATAATTAGTATGTTTGCTTAAAAAAACCACATGTAGAGTTGTTTACAAACATTTTTTGGTCTATAATTGGCTGCATTTAAAATATATTCACTTTACAGAAATCAGCATGGCTACAGAATGTACATATGTGTGTGTTCTGAGGCAGGGTTTCATGTAGCCTAGGCTGACCCTAAACTTGCAACTCCCCTTCCTCAGTCTCCTGAATCTCCATGCCTAACTAGAATGTATGCTGTTTCAGGCGAGTTCCTGCTGCTGTAGTGAAAGCCTGGAGTCTCTAAGAAATACAGTCTAGAACGGTGCCTCTCCTAGTTCCCAAGATACACGGGGAAGGGAAAAAGATGAGCACACCTTTCCTGGCATTCAGGAGCAGCAGCAGCAGCAGCAGCAGCAGCAGCAGTAGCAGCAGCAGCAGCAGCAGCAGAATGGCAAGGCATTAACTCCTTTCTTTCTAATTCCAACTGTGTGTGTTTCTATGGCTTGCCATCTCAGGTTAAGGGGAGGCTGCTACTGGACTCTGTTTCTCATTCCAGGGCAGTCCCCAAATCGAGAAGACAGCACCAGGAGCAGGGGTCTGACATACACATGCATGCAGTCCCTGTTGCATTGGGGTGAAATGTTCATCACTTGGCTGTGGGACTCAAGACCTGCCCAGTGTGTTGAAAGGAAGATCTGAAGAAGCAAGATTTAACTTTGTGTGAAGATTTATTTAATCCCTTAAAAGGAGTTTATCCGTGGGAGAGTGTTAAGAATTACTATTTAAAAACTGGAAGATAAAAACCATATACCAAATACATTAAAGCAGAACAAGATGTCCTTATGTTGACCTTGTAAGCACTGAAGAATGACACAGGCGAATAATTATTTTTCATTTCTTGTGTACCAACCTCGGGTGCTCTATAGGTGATAGTTTATATTGATTGTCACCTTGGCAGGATCTAGAATTATCCAGAAGACGAGTTTTCTCCAACTGTGGGTGGCACCATCCCCTGCTGTAGGATCCAAGATTGTGCAAACAAGGATAAAGCTCACCCAACTTGAGAGCTCATCTGCCTTTGCTTCTTGAGTGTGGATGCCATGTGACCAGCTGTCTCCTGCAGCCATCCATGCCTTCCCCGACTCAGTGGACTGTATCCTCAAACTGTGAGTCAAAGTAGATCCTTCCGTCTTCAAGTCCTCTTTGTCAGGGTATTTTATTACAGCAATGGAAAAGTATCTAAGGCACTATTGTAGGGAGTGATTTTACATACCTGTGAACACATTCCCTACACACTATGACACCATCAATTCTCTAAAGAAGGAATTTTTCCACTATGGCTTATTACTAATTTTTTTCACATAAAATTGCAGTCTTTTACAAAGATTTGTATATAAAAAAAACCAAAGATTTGTTTATGATTAGTAAGGCTCATGTGTCTTATATTTTGCTTCAATTTTTTTAAAAAAGGACTCAGATAAACAAAGATTTACAGATTGAAAGAAGCTATCTTCAAAACGTGAAGTCTATCTGGGTGTGGTTCTAGCCCAACACAGCATGTTTATTGAAAGAACAATAGGCACCCCCAACACCTTCACATCAAGATGCTCCTAGAGGTCCAGGGCATGCTTGCAGAATTTCAAAATCAGATTTTATCTCTCAGAATTGTTGTTCTTCCTTTGCTTTCATGGGGTTATATTTCATCACGTTTCTGTTTTCAAGGCTTTCACTTAGTAATTACAATTTGCTGTATGTTTCAAAAGCTAGAGACAGTGTCACATTAGTTGACTGGTTGGGTTGAAGATTTGCAACTTCTTTCAAACAAAATGAACCTCACTTTGTAGAACTCCAGCACCCCTCACTATATTGGGTGACACTTGCGTTCATCTACAGGGTAGTTTTTCTACAGGGCAATTGCAGCCTTTTTGTGATCCTGAATCTGCTGTAGTTTAGCCCACAGTATGAGTGAGTTGCAAGACCAGTGCTTATTTCTCACAACTCTAGAAAAAGACCAGCAGGTTAAGATCTTAGGTTCATAGGCGGGTAACTTTCTTTCTGCCATGTCCTCATTCAGTGGAGATGGCACCAGGATCTCTCTGTGATCTATTGGGAGCTGATCATCTCTCACCCCAGAGACTCTCAGAATCCAAGGCCATCAACCTGAAGGCTGGCATTTACAAACTCAGATTTCAGTGGGACATGAACATCCTGTCCACAGCAGAGAGATCATGCACTGCTGGCTGGTACAGTTCATCATCGAATCTGGTACAAATGTTGCTGCAAACGATTGTAACTTGACTGCTCTATAGATGGAGTAGCAAAGAATTCTGGGACATAGTTTGTGAATAATGTGCACTCTAACACATTTCATCCAGAGTTTTCCTCCAAGGATTTCTTTTTAATTTTTTTTGAGATTATTATATAATTTCAATGTTTTCCCCCCTTTCTTCCCTCTGAATCCTCCCATATACTCCTCCTAACTTTCTTTAAAATTCATGGACTTTTTTCATTAATTGTAGTTGTGTGTTTATGTTTCTAAATGCATAAATACAACCTGCTCAGTCTCTTGTGTTGCTTATATGTATGTGTTTCAAGGATGATCATTTGATATTGGATAATTAATTGGTCCCTGGTTGCCCATGGTTCTCTGTGTAGAATTGAGGCCCTGTAGGCTTTCCCCATCCATCCGCATTAGCATGTCTGTTGTTGTGGTCCTTGGGGTGTAGCCTCTGAGGTTCCCAAGAGACACACAGAAACACCCTGTTCCTCTGGCTCTTATAATATTTCCTGTGCCTTGGGTGCAGGAGTTGTGCTATAGATGAATCAGGTGGGACTGGGCTCCACAACTCTGCATCTTGATCGGTTGTAGTTTTCTGTAATGGTCTGCATCTGTTACAAAGAGAAGTTTCCTTGATGAGGAGTGAAGACTACACTTACCCCACTGGTCGGTCTGTCTGTCTTTCTTTCTTTTCCTCCCTGCCTTCTCCCCCCCCCCCCATTTTTTGAGACAGGGTTTCTCTGTGCAGCCTGGCTGCCCTGGAATTCCCTCTGTAGAGCAGGCTGGCCTTGAACTTGCAGGGATTTGCCCACCTCTGCCTCTCAAGTGCTGGGATTAAAGGTGTGTGCCACCAACACGCGGCTCCCTCCACTTTCTTACTTTACATCATGGTCTTAGTTGATTTTATTTTCAGAGAGGATCTCATGTATCCTAGACCAGCCTCAGCCTTGGTCTTCTGATCCACCTGCCTCTGTCTCCTGGGAGCTGTGATTACAGCTGTGTACCACCGAGCTGGTTTACACGGTGCTGGAAATCCGTGGCTTGGTGCAGAAACTCTACCCACTGAGTTATATAAACTCAGCCCAGGTGTCTTAAATTAATTGGTATATTTTTGTTTTTGCCTTTTTTTTTAAACTTCACTTTGTATTAGTTTTCTTGTTTCAGTGACCAGACACCAGACAAAAGTAATTTAAAGAAGGACAGACTTATTTCGACTCAAAGTTCCAGGGTATGGTCTGTCACCGTGAGGAAGCTGTGTGAGGCAGGAGTGCGAGGCAGCTGGCCACATCACATCTATAGTCAGGAAGTAGAGGGTGATAAATAGAGTGATGAATTATGATGTCTCACTGACATTTTCTTTCCTGTATCACCCAGGATCTCACTTGTGGGATGGTGCCACCCACATGGAGGTGGGAAGGCCCACCTCAAGTAACCCAGTGTGTATGGACCACCCGCCTCACAGACATGACTGGAGATTTGTTTCCATGGTGATTCCAAGTCCCATCAAGTTGGCAACCAAAATTCACCATCCCACAATCTGCCTAAGATTTGTATCCTGTCATTACTGTAAGTGAACAAGTAGCAATTTTCACAGTTTAACTTTTTACTCATATCTGTAGCATTTACCATGAGAGCAACTGTTTTACCCAGACAGAGTGATCTTGAGCGTGCAGCATGTCATTTCACTTTGTCTTTGTGAATTGTGCTTAAGAGACATTTATCGCAACGTGGAGCTCTGCAGCTAACAGAGGCGACGCTCTCTGGAAGATGTGAAGAGAATTGTCCTCCATAGGCTCTGGCGTTTAAACACTTGGTCCCCGGTTGATGGCTCTGATGGGGGAGGTCTAGCTCCGCTGGAGGAAAGCTGGGGAGGGCTTTGAGGTTATATAGCCGCCTCCTATATCCAGCTCTCCTTCTGGGAGTCCTGCTTGCAGCTGACGTGAGCTCTGTTGCCACTGTAAAGCTTGCCACTGCTGCTCATCACCGTCATGGGCACTTATCTTCCCGGAACCATAAACCCCAATAAACTGTCTTTTATAAGTAGTCTTGGTCATGGTGTTTTATCACAGCAACAGAGAAGTGACTAATACGCGTTCACGGCGGCAGCTGCACATTTCACACACGATCAAGGAAAACCTGGAATGGGGAGTAGAATTTAGAAACACAGTCATAGGTTTAACTGAATACAGCCGGGTTTCCCAGCGTTGCGAACGAAACCTCTGTATCTGAGCTTGCTAACCGCACGTCAGTCACTGGGAGCAGTCTTCAGATGGCAATTGCCTGAAGCAGATGGCAACAATGGCTGTCAGACAGGTGAGTGCCCACCAGGGAAGTGGGCCATGGGCATCTTCCCCACTAAGTTTCTTAAGGTGTAAATATGCATAATTAATACCTCATGGTATGCTTTTTGGACCATGTGTTTCACATGGGACAATTAAAAAGCACCAGAGGTATGCAGGACACACAATGGATACAAGTCAGCCGTGATTCATAGTACACAGTAACTGTAGCTTCCTATCATAAACCCCAGAGGCGGTGTTCAGAGTACGCTGGCATCTGCGTAGGACAGTCGAGTCCACGTGGTTCACATATGTGTCATGTAGTCTAAGCCTGGGTTTTCTGTCACATCCCGAGTGCTTTCACCCTTGTCATGGTCTCAGTGTGCAAGTGGCTGCTGGGTCTGAAGAGTGACCAGCAGGGGCAGCGGTGCTGAGCACATACCAAGCCTAGGCCAGAGGAGATAGCAGGCCTCATTACCACCTGCTTGGAACCCCCTTCTTATAATCAGTGGGTTCCTGCTGTCCCGGATAGTGGTGTGGGCTGCATGGGTGTTGGCAGAGTTTGGGTTGCCACTTGTCATCTGTGCCATTTTATCACTTGTTAATCAGGACTCTGCCTATTACGCATTGTTAAATGAGAACCTGACAGACGCTAGTGTTGTTAAGTAGGAGTCACCGAAATCTGTTTATCTTCATGTTTTGTTGTAAATGATTCTGGGACTGACTGTCACACAGGGCAGACTCTTGAGTCAGCAGAACAACACGCTGGGAGTGTTCCAAGCAACCTAGGTCGCACGATCACCGTAATAACAGGTATTGTTTCTAGGCATATTTCCCTCTTAATTGTTCCATGCTGGTGATTAAAACAAAGGTTTAGAAGCTTAAGCACACATCTTATCTACACAGATGAAAAATTAGCAGGAAACTGCAAACATTAGATTAGTTCTGGGGAATTCCGTAGTTCTCAAGCAGGTGTGTGTGTGTGTGTGCGCGTGTGCGTGTGCGTGTGTGTGTTATGTGTGGGGGAGATTTTGATTGAATCCTCAACCAGTCATCATTAACAAGAAAAGGTGGTCTACTTGTCTCGGTTTCCAGGTGTCTACCATCTTACAGCTCTGTTCCCCTAGGTGACTTGCAGCGTGGATTCTGCCTGGTGGCTGCTGCAGGGTTTGCTGGTGTCTGTTTGACCATGTGCTGTGGCTCTTATCTGTTGCTATTTTACTGTATTTTCATTCGTTTGACTGTCTTACCTCATTTATGCCAAAGCTGACATGCAACTTCTTTGGAAAAAATAGTTGTATTTATTTTAGTTTTAAATTTAAAATTTAATATGCATTGGGTATTTTTATCTGCATATATATGAATATCACTTTCATTCCTGGTGCTGCTGGAGACCAGAAGAGGGTGTCAGGTCTTCTGTAACTAGAGTTGCAGAGAGTTAAGAGCTGACATTTGGGTGCTGGGAAGTGAACCTGGGTTCTCTGGAAGAGCAGCCAATGCCCTTAACCCCTGAGCCATCTCTCCAGCCCTTTTATATCTATATCACTCTTCCCTCTCCTCTTAACACTTCCCATGTTCCCATCCCAAATTCGTGATCTCTTTTTTAATTGTTGTTATAGCCATATAGACACACATCTAACACACAAATATATGTACATATGTATATGTATGATTTACTGAGTCTTTGTAGCCTGTCTTGTATCTACATGTGTTTAGGGCTGACAACTTGGGACTAGACAACCTATGTGGGAGCTCATCCCTGAAGGAAACGGTTTTTCCTCTCTCAGCAGCCACTGACCAGCCCTTCATCCAGGGCAGGGACCGTGTGTAATTTCCTCTGTCCTCAATGGCATGACATGCATCCTCCAAACACCACACATGCTCGCAGCATCAGTAGACTTCCCCCTGGCAACGCTTGCTGATGGTCAGAAGGGCGTGTCCTTAGGTCTGAACTGGCAGAACAATCCCAGCTTTCAGTCTCCTTGGCACTATATAAAGGAAGCTCATCTCACTTTCGGGGGCCATACACACTTTCCAAGAGATTGACACTTCCTTAGTCATTGTGCTGGCTAGTTCTTGCCAACTTGGCACAAACTAGAGTGGCCTGGGAACAGGGGTCCTGAATTGGGTTCGTGCCTCATCAGACTGGCCTGTAGACAAGCCTTTGCGGCCTTTTCTTGGTTAAGTGTAGATGTAGAGGACACAGCTCACTAGGGGTGATGCCACCCCTGGGGCAGGTGGTCCTGGGAGGCAAAGAAAGGTAACTGAGTATGAAGGCTCAGAGCAAGACGGTAGGTGTTCTTCTACAATTCCAGCCTTTTCTCCTGCTACGGCTCCTGCCCTGACTGCCCTCAGCGATTTACTGTGATGGGACCGGTAAGCCCAAGTTGCTTTTGGCCATGGTGTTTGGTGTTTGTCCCAGAAATAGGAAGCACAGTAGGGCAGATGTCTATGTCTTCTATAGGCCAGTAGTGAGGTGAAGCACAGAATGTGAACGTTAAGTTCTAAGAGAGTCTTTCCTGGGCCTCATTAATTCACAGCAGGATTTCAACACCAACTGATGTTTGTCTCACTGTGCCATTTGCGAGTGGCAGAAGCTTTTGAGAGTCCCACATACTTTTTATGTTTTCTTTTAGGTTTATATTATTTTATACAAGTGCTTATACCAACGGGAGTGTACACATTAATAATTCAGGGTTAACTCTCAACGTTTGCTCGTGAAGCCGCACCGTATTTGTATATAGCTGACAGTAATCACTATAGTTTCATAGTTCTGCCTCCTCACTCACTGAGTTCATTCATCATTCAATGTGGGTGAACTGCATACCTGACTCATTCCAATAACCGTGTTAGTCTGGCCTTTGGGAGTGCAGGCACGGGTAGATGCTTATACAAGTAGTCAGAGGGTGCCCACTGCTCTAACCACATACCAAAAAAGGCGCAAATGGAGGAAAATGTCTAGATCTAGGAGGGTTTCCATGAGCTTGGACGAATGGTCGCAAGCCCGAGTCAAGGCTCTGCTACCATGGTTGGAAGGAAGAGTGGGGGGAGGCCATCCACCCATAGTCAATATAACGGGTGAAGCTAGTCTCATGGATGGTGGGGTCACTTACGAGCTCTGACATTCTGTTTTCTCTGTTGGGGACATTCATTGTCACCCAATTGTGTGCTCCACAGTGGGGAGGGAATCCTACCTCTCAGTGTCTTCACTGAGTGTCCTTCTGTGACATATGAAGTCTGCATCCGATGCCTTTTTTATGGGCTTCCATAGTGTCCTGAATTTCTTCTAACAGCACAAACATAAATTCGAATTTCAAGTTTTAAATGCTAATTTCGCCCATAAATTCTAAGTTCCTTGAGGACAGGGACTGGAAGAGCATTTCCTTCATGGTTATTGCTCTGCTACCTGGCACAGACTGTGCAATATAATAAGCTCCCCGTATTTATTGAAAGAATGAATGAATAAATAAATGTATAGAGTCGGGCTATGTAAACCGAGACATAATTTTCTCCCGAAGCTGACCAGGGTTCTTTTAGAATGCTATTAGCCAAAGCATTTTTGTTTTATAGCTTTCATTTCTCATAAAACTTGATGTTCTCCAAAGTATTTTTAAATTTTGCTTCGGATGGCAGGCAGTGACTCCCCCCCCCCCCCAGACCTCATCAAAATGATGGTTTGGGAGCATGCAAAGCAGTGGCCTATCCAAGTGGTAACAGTGCGTGCTTGGGGGTGGGCGGGGCAGCGCAGACGAGCAGAGAGACCTTAGGCGATGAGCCTGGATGAGAACCATCAGGTAGAGAAGACTGGGAGGCGGTCTAGGTTTGGTTAGTTATTGTGTGGGTGCTGCCGTGGATGTGAACCTGGTCTGCTGATAAGGCCTGGACACCCTAGCAGCTTGGTGTTAGTAAGTAAGGAAGTCAGGAGGGGGGAAGGGCAATGGAAGAAAGTAGATCCCTTCAAGATCCAACAGTGGAAGGATTTGATGGTTGTACCTACCCCTCTACCTTCTGGTCCTGTCCCAAGAGTGGCCAGGGAGACACTCAGACATCCTCTGGGAAAGTCTCTGGAGTGGTGGCCCAGAGGACAGTCTTTCTTATTCTGGCATCCATGGGGCATGCGGTCTAAGGTTGTCGAGGCCCTCTTCCTAATTCCATGAAGCCTGGAGTGAACTGCTGTTGGTAAATCCACCCCATCTCTCTGCTGGTTAGTTTTATGTCAACTTCGCATAAACTAGAGTCGCAGGAGAGGAGGGTACCTCACTTGAGAAAAAAAAAAAACTCCATAAGACCATGATGTAGGTAAGCCTATAAGGCATTTTTTTTCTTAATTAGTGACTATTTGGGAGGGCACAGTCCATTTTGGGTGCTGTGCCCCCAAGCTTCTGGTCCTGAGTTCTATAGGCAAGGAGGCTGAGCAAACCAGGAGGAGCAAGCCAGGAAGCTCAGTATGAGCTCCTGTCTCCAGACTCCTGCCCCGTGATTTCCTTCCCTGACTTCCTTCAATGGTGGACTGTGGTGTGGAAGTATAAGCCCAAGTTGCTTTTGGCCATGGCATTTCACCACAGCAATAAAAGCGCCAAACAAGACAAGTGCCCAGGACGCTAGCCTGTCTACCAAGAAAAGAACTCTGTAGGGAAAAACCTGCCTGCAGACACATGAGCAATTGAAACCCACTCATCTCCGAACGGTCAGAGCTTCTCCATCGCTGTACACCGAAGGGCGCCCCAGAACGCGAAGGAGTGAACGCACAGACAAGGGGCGCTG